GCCACAATCTCATTTATCCTTACAACTACCCTATAAGGTGGGCATCTCCCCACTTTACAGGATGGGAAAGTTAGTCTCAGGGAGGGTAAGTGATTTGCTCCAGTGATGCAGGGGTTAAGTAAGAGAGCACCAGAGGGCTTCCAGCCATGAACCTCATTGTCTTAATCTGTTCAGGCTGCAATAACAAAGTACCATTCACGGGGGGCTTAAAAACCAGAAATCTACTCATAGTTCTGGAGTCTGGAAGCCCAAGATCAGAGTACCAGATGGCCGGGTTCTGATGGAGACCCCTGCCTGGCTCGCAGACAGCTGCCTTGCTGTGTGCTCGCTTGGTGGAGGAGGGAGTTCTAGTCGCTTCCTCCCCTTATAAGGACGCTAATCCCACCGTAATGCCCTACCCTCTTGACCTCGTCTAAACCTAATCACCCCTGCAAAGGCCCCACCTCCAGATACCATCGTGTTGGGGGTTAGGGCTTCAAAGTGTGAATTTGGGGGAGACACAAACATTCAATCCTTTATACCCATTCACTTGCACGTGGCTTTGGGCAAGTCCCTGCAATCCCTCGAGACTCAGTTTCCCCATCTGTGAAATGGGGACCTTAATAGCCTGCCAACTCTTACAGGGTTATCATAGGGCTCAAGTGGAGTGACAGGTGCAGACGCCTTTATAAGCTGCGACTCGGAGGAGCTTGGACTTGTCTGAGTCTGTGTTTCCAGAGCTGTTCCCTCCGGCCACCTTGGAGGCCTGTCGGCTGAGTGCCCGTGGCGTTAGGAGGAAGGGTGCCCTGCTGCCTCATCCCTGCAAGGGGGCTCCGAAAAAGGGCCCTTTCCATCCCCACGGTTTTTTATTTGTTTTTATTTTTTAATTGAAGTAGAGTCGGTTTGCAATGCTGTGTTAACTTCTGGGGCACAGCATAGTGATTCAGTTGTGCATAAACACATATTCCTGATCACACTGGTTTTCATTATAGGCTATTACAAGGTATTAAACATGGTCATCCCTATGTTTTTTAGACTAAAGCAGCCACAAAGTAAGTCGTCTTCCAGGGGCTTCGCCCCAGGTATTGGAGGTTCCTGATTATTTTGAAAGGGACAGTGCTAAATCATGGACAGGTAAACAAAGTCAGCAAAAAATGTGTCTGCTGCAAAGCTCTTTGTCGGAGCCCTCAGCTTTTCAATTCTGCATGGGGTGACCTCAGGCCTTGGCGGGGTCAGAACCAGCGATGGGGGCGTCTGAGTGCGCCCGCCCGTATCAGCAGATGACACGCCCCCGCCAGCCTGCATGCCCCGGGGCCGCCTCTGTCCTGGTTGTTAGCTGGGGGCTGTGCCATCAGTCTCGCCGCATCTCCGGGGGCTTTGGCAGCCCCTGGCTGGTCTGGTGTAGCTCAGTGACTGCAGGGCTGAGAGGACCACCAGGGACCTTTTTATCCTTCACAGGCCAGAGGGAGTGTGTGCGATGCCAGGGCCGGCCTGGGTCAGCTTGGAAGGCTGAGGATGAGCACGGGCCAGCTTGCTGTGGATAGGTGAACAATTTGGCAGCAAGTGGGGCAGCGGGGAGCTCTCTCAGCTTGGCCCCTGGAGTTGCAGCTCAGTAACAGGGTTTTTGGCAACAGCAGCAAAAGAAGTTGGAAACAACACAGTAGGAGCTTTGAATCCAGTGCCATTTGGAAGCCAGTGTTATCAGTTAGGCATGCATTTGGCTGCAGATAACAGAGACCCTCATTTAAACACATGGGGATTTATTTTACGTGCAGGATAATTCCGGAGGCAGGCAGGCAGTCCATGGCTGGTGCGGCTGCTCCGGGATGTTTCCGGAAGCCAGACTCTTTTTATCTTTCTATCCTTCCATCCTCAGCAGCTGGCCTTCATCTTCACAGAGAGGTCAGGGAGAAGGGAGACAGAATGCGGGCCGGGTCAGCCCCAGGCAGACAGTGCAAAGGGCGCTCACTCGCAGTCCAGAGGTCTGGGCCCACGGGCTACTCCGGGTCACCTTGGGGCAAGTCACTTCCATCATCTGGACTTTTTCTCGCCTGTCAGATGTTGAACTGTATTATCTCTAAAGTCGGTTCCATTGTCTCAGTTATCTATCTGGGTTCTGTTTTGTTTTGTTTTACAAACTGCCTCTAAACCTTCTAGTTTAAAAATGTCTGTTCTGTTCATGAATCTGCAATTTCCGTAGGGCTCGGCGAGGACAGCTGGTCTCTGCTCCGTCCAGTGCTGGCTGGGGGGCTGGGGAGGCCTGAAGCTCACTCTGCATCTAGCAGGGGCTGCTGGGGCTTGTCTGGGACGTTAGTTGGTGCTGTGGCTGGACATCTGCACCCAGACTTCCACGTGGCTGCTTGGCTTCCTCACAATGTGGTCACTGGGTTCTAAGGGTGAGTGTCCCAGGAGAAAGCCAGGAGAGGCCGAGGGGGCTTTTCTAACTGGCCGGTGATGTCACGTGAAGTCACTCCTGCCATGTCCTCTTTCCCTGTTCAGAAGAAGCAGGCGGATGTCAGACGTTCCTTTCAAGGGAGGAGCGTTGAAGAATTTGTGGACACGTGAAAACCACCAGGCTCCTGTAGGTTTCAGACTCAAAGTTCCTCTTCTTCTGTGCCTCCTCTCACTGTCCTGGAAGACAAGGGAGGCTGCTTCTCGGGGCAAGGACTACAGATGAACTGTTACGGAAAAGGTTTAGTAGTCACGGGCTGCTTTGGGGGCAGCCCTGGCCTGACCTCCGAGGGGCCGGGACTGGGGCCTTCTTCAGTTTGAAAAGTGCACGAGACTTAGTTCATTTTGAGACTTGCTCCCTGGCAACCCGGGACTTGAGAATACTCGAACAGCAGCCTTTGAAAGTAGGCGGTCTTTTAACAGTTCACCAACAAGGGTTCACTGGCCATTTCTGAAGCGCCCGGCGCTGTGCTGGGCCTGCGCTCCTTGCCTGAAGAATTTCTAGTTTTATTGGGGAGACGGACAACTGGGGACGCCCCCGCCTCGCCCAGCCAGCCGTATCTGATTTCAGTCTGTCCCCAGTGTCCACCCTGGGCTTGGCGTAGAGACAGCGTTGGTTACCGTATTGGTCAGTGACTGAACCTTGACCTGAAATGACTTGGCTAAACAACAAACACAAAGATTTTGTTTGTTTGCTTTGGGTTTGAGTAACTGGAGAGAACCAGGGGTGGCTCTCTGACTTCGGGCACACCTGGGTCCCTGGACTCCAGTGATGACGTAGAGTCTTCCCCCCGCACCTGTGTGTCAGACGGCACGCCGCAGGCCCCGGTGGGCCAGGCTGCCGCGTTTTCATGCTGTGTGTAGCTCCCTCCAGCACTGACTCTGAGCTCAGCTTGTGCAGTTTGCTCTGGCCACGTGGAGGTTAGCAGGTGTGATACCAGGAGAGGCCCAATGAGCTGCTAGCACGCTGGGGCTGGTCTTCATGGAGCCCGGCCATCCAGCTCTGAAGAGCTCGGGGCTAGACTGCTGGAGAACGGAAGGCCACGTTGACAGAGACCTACCTTGCAGGACGAGCCATCTCAGACCAGCTCTCAACTGAATGCAGCCACACGAGTGACCTCAGCCACCACCCCGAGTCATAAAACCCCTCAGCTTAGCCCGGGGAATCCACGGAATGACGAGAAATCATAAATGGATGCTTTAGGACCCCAGGTTTTGGGACACGTGGTTACGTGACCACAGGTAACTATTACATCCTCTCTAAGTGATGGCAGGGCAGCTGCCGACGACTCCAGGCTGAGAAATCCCAGTAGACACCGAATACCGTTTTTCGATGGGATTAATTCTCATTTAACAAATGCAAGTCACTTGGAACCAGACACTATGGCCGAGAGGTGAAGACCAGGCCGGAGATGTGAGCCCATCCTTGTAGGCAGGGGGTGTTGGGTCAATCCCACCCAACCCGTGAACTGGGGTACAGTGGGAGAGTGGGGACTTCCCAGTCAGAATCATCAACAGATAACCTGCACGGGGAGGGCGCTGGGTGGGTGAGGGCGTGAACGAGTAACGATGAGTGTGGGCTGAGTCGAGGAAGAATTTTGAGAAGGGCTAATATTTAAGTCAGGACGTGTCAGGAGTCAGGGACAAGGGTTTCTAAGTGGCAGGCAAGCTGAGGCGTAGAACAGGAGACAGGAGAACGCCCAGACGTGGGACTCAGGGTCCTGGGTAAGTGACAGCTGGGTGAGGATGCCGGACAGATCGGCCACCACACTCGGAGAGGGTCAGATGTCTCAGCCGAAAGCGCTGTGTTTGCTGGGACTCCAAATATATTTTAGGCTTTTTCTCCCGATGGGAAAATTCACTTGTATGTTCGGAAAAGTGTCCAGGTGTTTCTGATCCATTTACACTCAAGTCATCAGTGTTGGGTGTGTGTTTCTGTGTGTGTTTCTGTGTGTGTGTGTGTGTGTGTGTGTGTATGTGCGCGTAAATGTGGGAAGCTATTTAATGTCCAACAAATCCTGGAAACGTTCTGTTTTGGCACTTGCCGCCGCAGACTGTTTGTCTGGGGAATAGGAGGCTGCATTTGGCTGGGCCAAGCTGCCGTCAGCTGTCCCAGGCTTACAGCAAAGAGGAGCGGCCTGAGCCCTCCTGAGGCCACAATGTCCAGGCTGCTCAGGGGCCGAGCAGGGGCTCTGAGTGGCGGCTTGTGGTGGCCGGGCTGCCGGCCCCAGGGGAGCCCTCACAGGGGACACACAGTTGTCACAGGTCTTCGCAGAGGCCTGGCACCCTCCCCCAACTCCAGTTGGTCACTGAGGCATGAGGACAGTTTGTACCCAGTGATCTGCCCGGTGCAAGCTTGTGACACACCAGCCACGCGGGCCAGCCACCTCCCGGAAATAGAACAGGGTAGGCGCTGGTCTCACTGAAGATGGAGGGAGCCCCAGGGGCCTGCTGGGGCTGGCAGACACCCAGCAATGGGGGCGGGGCGCGGCCGCTGATCTCAGGACAGACAGATGGACATGTGGAGACGGCCACAGCTGCTCCTCGATGGGGAGGCAGGAGGCAGGGAGGGATGAGCACAGAAGGACAAGTTCAAGCCTCAGGGTGAATGAGGCTCAGCTCAGACCAGCGCTGGGGTGTCCTCCTGGCCACTCCTCGCTGTTCTCACTCCTGCTGGCCCCCCTGCTGTCCTCACCCCTCTGGGCTGCACCTCTGGCAACCGACACCCCACCTTTTTGATTTGGCTTTGACCCTTCCTGCACTGGAGGCCCTCCGGGCACGGCTCAGCTCCTGGACCCAGCCCCTCCCTCCCTCCCTGCCTGGCCCCAGGTGGCCGGGGCAGCCGCTGCGTCCCGGGGGACTTGGCTGAACGAGGCCATCTTCCTGGACAGCAGCAGTGTGAGGATGCGTGAAGATGAGAGCAGTTTTGCACGTTGTTTAATATAATAAACAGGAGTCCAGGGCGCAGGAGGACCGAATTGTTCTTTCACCCTCACTGCGGCCATTTATCCACCTGTGTCTGGGCAGCAGCTGAGTCTGAACCCTCATTTCAGGGTTCAAGCCCTTTGTGGCCAGCCTGACCCCCTCTGTATCGCAGCCCTCAAACAGCAGTGGAAACACCCATTGCAGACTCACCGGCCCTCATTGCCCCCCAGAAGCCGCGCGCCTGCGTTGGGGCTCTTTTTACTGCAAGTGCTGGGAGCATAGCTCACACTGGCTTAAGCATCAAAGGAGCTTTGCTGGGCTCTGGGAATTCTGGTCTCGGGAGCAGTTGACACCCCCCTGGGAGGTTTGCCTTTCTCTCGGCTCTGTGTTCCCTTGGTGGCTTGGCTCTCAGGCAGGTTCTTCCCCTGTGAGGGCGGTGACCGCCCCGCCAGCTCCAAGCCCACATCCTACCAGATGTGTGGCCCCAGTGGTCCCAGCAGGATCCTGCAAGGGACACTGATGCAGCCGCTGCCATGCGTCCCCCAAACCTGTCACTGTAGCTGAGAGGATGTGCGGCTTTGCTTGGCCAGGTCTGGGTCCTGTGCCCACCCTCAGGTCAGGGGATGGGATCAACCCCACCCACGCCCACGTGGGCTGAACACGGCTAGGGCGTGGCTCTGCAGAGGAGCTTGGGGCGCTACCGAAAGAATGGGAGGAAGTAATGCCGTTTGCAGCAACATGGATGGACCTAAAGATTCTCATACTAAGTGAAGTCAGACAAATACCACATCATATCACTTGTATGTGGAATCTTACAAAATGATACAAATGAACTGATTTACAAAGCATAAATAGATTCACAGGCATAGAAAACAAACTTATGGTTACCAAAGGGGAAAGGGGGAGTTCGGGATTAGCAGGAGGCAAAAAACAAAAAAAAAGAAAAAGAATGGGAGGCGCACTGGGAAGGTGAGACCGGCAGATGTGATTCCAACGCCTGCCCCCACCCGGATGCCGTTCCTTCTTGCCCCATCCCTGAATCTGCCCTCTCTCCTCTGAGTTCTCCCAAGCTCACCTCCTCCAGGAAGCCATCTCTGATTACATCAGCCCTCTGTGTTTTCTTCTTCCCAGAACCCCCAGGCTTTGTCAGGCCTGCCTATGCAGTGTTTATTACCTCAAGCTGTTACCATCTTCAGCTTTATATGCGTTTGGGTTTTTGTCCCACGTTCACGGTGAGGTCTTTGAGGGCAGGATTTAAGACAGCTCTATCCCGAAGGCGTCTGACATGGTAAAGAGCTTTGGACATTTCTCTAGGGCTTCTGCTCCTAGCCTGTGCCCTGCTCATAGCACATTTGGCCTGATCTTCATTTCATTTTTCTGCGTTGATGAAGCTTTTCATGTGAGCCTTTGACACACCATCTTTTCGCACTTTGCACCAGTTTTATTAGGCAAAGCCTTAGGATCCCGGGGTTTACACCGCTGTTGTCACCTGTCCTGCCTTGCCTTGTGGGCTTAGTCAAGGTACTTATCCTCTTGTTGGCTTACCTTCTTCATCTTTACAATGGGGAGAACGCTTCCCCTACAGTCACACGGACGGAACAGGCAAGGTACGTGAAAACGACAGCAGAGTGCTGGGCTGAATGAATGAGTGAGTGAGTGAGTGAACTGGCCAGTCAGATGAGCCACACAGCATGTGGGACTCTTGCCAGGGGACTCCGTGAGAGAAGAAAACCCTGTTTCATGGTGTGGAGGAGGCCTCAGTGTAGACAGCAGGGCCCCGGCCAGGCTGGTCCAGAAGCTGGCCAGGTCTGCAGGACGATCAGCAGGTGTGGTCAGGGGGCCCCGCCTGGAGGAGAGGAGGAGGCTGGTAAGGCCCAGGAGCTGGTCAGGCCCTGGCCAGACCATCTCCAGGATGTCTGCCTCTGCTGGGCAGCGTGGCATCTGCCCCCGCGTCTTTTGGTGATAGCAGCCTGGTTTTCCTGGAGCAACCCCCGCCTTCTCTAGTCCCAGGCTATGGCTTGGAATAGGCTGACCCCACCATCTAGTAATTAGCACATGACCCAGTCAGCCCCAAAAGAGGCAAATTCCAGACTTTTCCTGGAAACTTTGGCATAGAGAGGCTCTCTTTCCATTGGGGTTGGGGAGGTGGCAGAATGTGGGCCTGAAGCTGCTGGGGGCCACAGTATGGATGGCACCCCCGCCCCAATAAATAAAGCCAACACAGAGAAACCAGAGCTGAGAGATGGGGAGGGAGCGTCCAGATGATGTCATCAGAGCACCTGCATCCAGCCGTACCTGCCTCTTCATGGATCTATCAGTAGAAAGAGGGAACCCGTTCTTTGTTTTTAAAGTTCATCTGACCCTGTTCTGACTTCTGGAGATAAACGTCCTGACTGCTATACTGCCCTACTGAGAGCAGGTGTTCTCCCCAGACCCCAGCCACATTACAGACCAGTTTCCCTAGGGGTGTTCACTCCCATGGGGTCTGCATTTTTGAGGTCCCTGTCAGAGGTCACACAAATAAATGGTCATAGATGGGAGAGGCTCTCAGTGATAACGCAGTGAGTGGAAGCCATGTTCACAGTCCATCTACCGGAACCTGTCTCGTCCTCAGTGACAGCTCAGTGTCGTGTTGTGGCTTCGTCCCAGCGGCCTCAGAATCTGGAACGTGTGCTGACCACATTGAGGAAAGTTTCCTTCCCATTGTTCATCATTCAAAGTCTCATTGCGATTTTTTCTGGGTATGCTGGTTCGTATTTTCACACGCACGGTTGGTTCGGTAATGGAAATAATTGCATGCGCTGATAAAGTGTGGCAACAAATGAAAGAAAATGATATAAAAGCACCCACCCTCGTGCTTGCGTGAACACAGAGGAGGAAAATTTCCGCCTGTGGCTAAACAGGAACAGAGCTTCGGAGCCGCTCTTCCCCGGCCGGTTCCAGTGACACATCCTTGCAACTCCAGACCACATGGATTGCTCGGAGCTCGTCCACCCCCTGCAGTTTCTTCAGATTCACTTCTGGGCCTGGATAGAGGCTGTGCTTGGGGCGTCTGATACAGGACAGGGCTGCGTGGCTCGTTACTGAAACGACCTCAGGGCCAGAATCGTGCTGTGAAAGCTACATTTGGTGTCCAAGGGTTCAAGATGGACCGTCCTATCCTCAGACAGAGGGGAGACTGCAAGATAAGAGGAAGGGTGCCCTATGACAGAAGGGATCAGCAGCCCCTGTGAGCTGACTCTGGTCTGCGGACAGCGCCCACGTCTGGGTGCTGGGTGCCTGCCTGGATGGTGCCTGGTGGTGTTGGCTGGCATCAGGCCCCCCATCCTGCCCTCCAGCAGTGCCCCCTTGTCCTCAGAGATAAGCTCTTCAACTCCCCTTGGGTGTATCCTTTCTCGAAAGACTCCTGGACACAGCTCAGGGGCTGCAGGTGTCTAGGAGTGCCCCAGTGTTCCTTGCTGGACGACTGGGGTTAGGGTCGTGCACCCTCACACCAGCTCCCAGACACCTGGGGACAGTGGCCAGGCCTCTCCCAGTCCCAGGGGAGGCTACTGAGGCCAAACTGTTGTTCCTGTTAAAATGTGTTGTGAGTGGAATTCACGTGGGCTAAATACATATATCCTAATTTGAGAGGGGGAAAGAAAACATGGTTGGTTGTCTTCCAAAGGCAGTCACTTGCCTGGTTAGTGTTTCTCTCTCTCCTGCCCCCAGATTACAGAGAGAAAATGTCCAGGTCATGTTTCCAAATTTCATTTCATAAACTGAAAACACATTTTAGGTCTCCCAGGACGGAAGACACCTTCATCTAGTTAACTCAGTTTTTGATGTTTACACGATGTAAGGTCCTGTAACCTTTCCCTTGTTTAAGCGAACTAGGAGAATTGTTACTTTGCCAAGTCTTCCTGTTCTTTTTTTTTTTTTAACATTCTTCTATTGTAGTAAAATACATTTTTCACTTTACCCATTTTTAAGTCTACAGTTCAGTGGCATTAATTATATTTATAATGGTGTGAAACCATCCCCACTGGCTATTCCCAAAACTTTCTCATCACCCCATATAGAAACTTTGTAACCATTTAGCAATAACCCATGTCTCCCCGCCGCAGCTCATGGTTTAACCTCTCATCTGCTATCTATCTCTATGAATTTGTCTAGTCTGCTTATATGAAAATGGTCTTTTGTGTCTGGCTTCTTTCCCTGAGCACAGTGTTACCGGGGTTCAGCCACGTTTGAGAATGAATCAGTACTTCATTCATTTTTTATGACTGAATACTATTCCATTATGTGCATTTACCCCATCTGGTATATCCATTCATCAATTGATAGCCATTTGAACCTCCTCATTCTTAAATTTTGGTCTTGAACAGTTTGGGGGAGTAAATTTAATATTAACATTTTATTCCTGTAAAGTCTTCATTCATAATACCACTTGGACTATTGACTAGAATGAAATGGGACATTTATTGATTGTCTTCTATAAACTAGGCAGTGTGCTGGGGCCACGCACATGGTGTCAACTCATTTAATCCTCAAAAACATAGCAGAAGTAGATCTTATCACCCCATTTTGAAGATGAAAACACTGAAACTCAAGAGAGGATAAGGGACTTGCTCAAGGTCACACAGCTAGCACGTGGCTTGGCTGAGCTGTGAGCCC